CAAGTGCTAATTTGGCAACAGAAACAATACTAAACTGATTTTAATTTTAACTGGTCCAGGAGTTCAATATTCCAACACTGTCAACGTTTTCATGACAAAAATACTGTTTTAAAGTGACAAAAAGCGATCGCGAAAAACCCGGAAGTTACCATGAAACAGCTAGCTAGCTTAGCTGTTACCTGCCTAGCACGTCCCGGTGAAACCTTTGGGAGCTAACTATTTTATTTGCAGTCATTAAATACATTTCTAATTATAAGGGTTGTCTAATATTTGTTCAAATATGTATATATTTTATTTTAGAATTATATTCGAATTTTGAAGTCGAAGCCCTGGTGTTAAGCAGCGCTGTAGAGGCTAGAGGACACAGGCTGTAGACACTAGAGGACACAGGCTGTAGAGACTAGAGGACACAGGCTGTAGAGACTAGAGGACACAGGCTGTAGAGACTAGAGGACACAGGCTGTAGAGGCTAGAGGACACAGGCTGTAGACACTAGAGGACACAGGCTGTAGAGACTAGAGGACACAGGCTGTAGAGGCTAGAGGACACAGACTGTAGAGACTAGAGGACGCAGGCTGTAGAGACTAGAGGACACAGGCTGTAGACACTAGAGGACACAGGCTGTAGAGACTAGAGGACACAGGCTGTAGAGGCTAGAGGACACAGACTGTAGAGACTAGAGGACGCAGGCTGTAGAGACTAGAGGACACAGGCTGTAGAGACTAGAGGACGCAGGCTGTAGAGACTAGAGGACACAGGCTGTAGACACTAGAGGACACAGGCTGTAGAGACTAGAGGACACAGGCTGTAGAGGCTAGAGGACACAGACTGTAGAGACTAGAGGACGCAGGCTGTAGAGACTAGAGGACACAGGCTGTAGAGACTAGAGGACACAGGGCTGTAGAGACTAGAGGACACAGGCTGTAGAGACTAGAGGACACAGGCTGTAGAGACTAGAGGACACAGGCTGTAGAGACTAGAGGACACAGGCTGTAGAGACTAGAGGACACAGGCTGTAGAGACTAGAGGACACAGGCTGTAGAGACTAGAGGACACAGGCTGTAGAGACTAGAGGACACAGGCTGTAGAGACTAGAGGACACAGGCTGTAGAGACTAGAGGACACAGGCTGTAGAGACTAGAGGACACAGGCTGTAGAGACTAGAGGACACAGGCTGTAGAGACTAGAGGACACAGGCTGTAGAGACTAGAGGACACAGGCTGTAGAGACTAGAGGACACAGGCTGTAGAGACTAGAGGACACAGGCTGTAGAGACTAGAGGACACAGGCTGTAGAGACTAGAGGACACAGGCTGTAGAGACTAGAGGACACAGGCTGTAGAGACTAGAGGACACAGGCTGTAGAGACTAGAGGACACAGGCTGTAGAGACTAGAGGACACAGGCTGTAGAGACTAGAGGACACAGGCTGTAGAGACTAGAGGACACAGGCTGTAGAGACTAGAGGACACAGGCTGTAGAGACTAGAGGACACAGGCTGTAGAGACTAGAGGACACAGGCTGTAGAGACTAGAGGACACAGGCTGTAGAGACTAGAGGACACAGGCTGTAGAGACTAGAGGACACAGGCTGTAGAGACTAGAGGACACAGGCTGTAGAGACTAGAGGACACAGGCTGTAGAGACTAGAGGACACAGGCTGTAGAGACTAGAGGACACAGGCTGTAGAGACTAGAGGACACAGGCTGTAGAGACTAGAGGACACAGGCTGTAGAGACTAGAGGACACAGGCTGTAGAGACTAGAGGACACAGACTGTAGAGACTAGAGGACACAGGCTGTAGAGACTAGAGGACGCAGGCTGTAGAGACTAGAGGACACAGGCTGTAGAGACTAGAGGACACAGACTGTAGAGACTAGAGGACGCAGGCTGTAGAGGCTAGAGGACACAGGCTGTAGAGACTAGAGGACACAGGCTGTAGAGACTAGAGGACACAGGCTGTTCGCTGCTCGTTCTGTGAGCGGAGGAGAACGTCCCGCTCAGACTCTACTCAGCACTTTTCACTGCCTGAATTTCATACACAGTGGAATCAATGACCTCAAGTTTTCAATTAAATTATGTATTATGATACAACTTGTATGTAGTAAAAAGCATTTTTATGAACTACTTAGAAAAAAAATCGGGTATAGCTTCTTTAAGTAAGGTATTACCTCTGGATAAGTCTGCAGAGAGAACATCAGGGTCCAAGGCACTGTGTGGTCACCGAACTCTGCAACATGTTGTCCAGCAATGATGCTTATACCACTGAGCTGTGTCTAAACAAGAGGAACAGAAAAATACACATCATCTTCACCAGCCATACCCAAATTGAGGTCTGGGGCCTATTGGGGCCCTCTCTGTCTTGATATGTAACAATATACACATTTTCAACGTCATCTAGCCAACATCAGCTCTGCCAACATAGGTTATAAATCATTGTAATGCTCAGGATCTCTGTAATCATGTTGTTTCTGTGATGAAGAGATGGCTATAATCTCACAAGTCAAATCATTATCACACATGTGCATAGGATGGACTGTGAAATATGAAGAAAAGCGTAATATGGAACCTTTAAAACTATGCCTTTGGACTGTGATGATGCTTTGACCTACTTAAGATAATATAAGAATTCCTTTATTTGTCCCACAGTGGGGACGAATACTTCTTTTATTAGCTATTGTAAAACAATGGGACTTATTTCTTTAACAAACAGCCATAAATAAGCTAACCTCAAAAGAGGACTCCCTGATGTCCCGCTGCAGGACTCGACTCTCTGGTTCCTCTCATAGTTTTTCAAACAGTAAATTACTTCTGTCCTCTTAACATTCACAAAACATTTCCCAAGTCATCAAGTTTGAAGCAGTGTTTTGAAGCTCAAATCAAAACTCTCAAGTTAAATCAGTCCTGGTTTAGACAGTGTTGTTGTAACACTGCAGTTCACCTGCATGGCTGTGTACTTACTTACTTGTGGGAGAAATATCCATTCATTTTCTTCCCCAGTCAGAGCTGCACCCAGAGCACCAGCCCCTCACTGATCCTCCTGCAGGTGGAGAGTCCATAGGAGCAAATTATGAATGATTAAATTATATTAATTCTAATAGACTATTATAGACCTAATACATGCAGGTTATATAATATACCCTATAGTAATAACATACTATCGCCAAAACAGCCCCTTACAGGGGAACACATCTCTTTTAAGCTTTAAGGAACACAGTAGGCCTATTATTTTATTTCTATTAAGAATACAGATGTATATAATTTAATGAAACTAAAACATTTTAATTAACAAGCATTTCCATGCAAATGGAAGGTACTAGTGATTATTATACTATTGTTATTTCATCATCAAGTCACTCACATCCCAGTGGAAGCAGATGTTGGAGGTTATGGACTATGTGGACTAAATGGGACACTTATAATTTTTATGGCATAAGGATTATGCTATGCCCTTTGCCATTAATGGATAATCAAAGCCTATTTGTATGATTTCTGCAAAAAGTGCATCATAATAAATACCTCAAATGTCTTATCTCTATTGTTCTTATAATTGTAGTCTTCTAACTGGCCTTATAAAAGCAATAGGCATTATGTAGTATGCATAAACTGGGCGTTAGCCACTTAGCTCCGCAGCTAATCTAGGATACTTTGTGCTAAACAACCTGTGGCCAGCTGTAACTCTTCCCAGTATTGACTCACCACGGCCCTGTCTCTTCTGTGGACAATATAGTTGCTGTAGATTTTCTGAACAAGTGGCTGCAGCACACATTCGCGTTAGCTTTAGCGTTAGCTCTGCTGCTAAACTAGGCTGCTTTGTGCTATGTGGTGACAGTGAAAACTCTCTCCTACCTCCGTGCGGGTGTCTCTCCATGTCCTGTGTCCCTCTGCGCGGCTGCTCCTCTCCTGTCTCCTTTGTGGGTGTATAATTACTGCAGAAATGCATAAACTTCCCCTTGACAGAATAGACGCTCTGTTGTCCTTCCCCACGGAGCATGCGCAGTGCTGACTTTGTGTGTGTGTGTATCATTTTCCCGCGGTTGTGTATAATTCCCCTTTTTCCCGCGCGGGAGAAACCCACCACTAGGGGCAGTGGCGGACACACAAATTTACCACTTTTCTCAGGTTTCTGGATTAAAAAGACTTTTGAGAAAACCACTTTTTAGGCATTAAAAAATGCATAGAAAACGATTTAGAATGTAATTTTTATGAGGACAGCAAATTGTCCTCCTAAACCGGAGGGTCCTCCTTACTCGGAGAAAAGTCTTGAAAATCGGCCTCGTAAACCAGAAAACAAACACACACACACACACACACACACACACACACACACACACACACACACACACACACACACACACACACACACACACACACACACACACACACACACACACACACACACACACGCACACACACACGCACACACGCACACACACACGCACACACGCACACACGCACACACACACACACACACACACACACACACACACACACACACACACGCACACACACACGCACACACGCACACACACACGCACACACGCACACACGCACACACACACACACACGGTCAATGTTTTAAACCTTTGAAGTTAGAAAAGTCTATAGCCACCGTGGTTAGTGCTTGTGCCTCACAGAAAGAAGGTTCGAGGTCCAGGTTCTTAATGAACACTATCTGAATGAGATGGGTGTATTGAGCATACATACAGAATTTTGTATTTTTAGGTTGAACCCAGAAAAACAAGTTTATTCGACTTTTTATGCTGCTCCTTGATATTTTCTAAAGGTAAACTGTCAACTGAAATAGTATTTATCACTGTCCCATCATCTCCAATAGTTGGACCATGAAAAACATGAGAAAACCACACATGTATTATAATAGTGTGCTTCTTTACAACATTTAAAATAATCTGCACACTGGGGTAGTCTTGCACAGTTTTTCCTATGTGGTTTTACTGCAAATGGCAAATAAATGAATCTAATCTGTTTTTGCATTTCACCAGGTATGTCACAGATGGCACAGTGGCTATATTGATGTCGTCGCTGTTTTTCTGCATCCCGTCCAGTTTACCTTCATGCTGCTGTGGGTCTTCGAGCGGTAAGGGAATGTCATTTGTTGGACACATCTACTGCAGGTAATTTTAATGGTAAAATATAGAAGGCGTATCGGCCTGTGCTTTTCCAACCTAGGAATCTATGGGTCGGGAGCCAGATGTGGCTCTTTTGATGATTGTGTCTGGCTCTCAGATAAATCTTAGTGAGATTGTTTTGTGCTTTGAATTTCTTCAGTATACAAATGGTATCAAACAAAATATTACATTTTAAGACAAATAGTACATTCTAAATTTGTTGATCTCGTAAAAAAAGATAAAAATAAAAATCACTATTCAAAATTAAAAAAAATTGTATGGCTCCTACAGAAATACATTTAAGAGAGTTTTTGGCTCAACACCTCTGTACCTCTGCCCCTGGCTGGTGCCCCCATAGTGGTATTGAGGGATGGGTCAATTACAGAGGAAAAAAGTGACAATAAGTATTTCTTAACCTGAACTTTAAACTCAAACTCAAGCACAGACTATTGCTGTCATAATGCATGATTCTACTTTACCCCATTACTTTAATTGTAATTGTGTGTATGTGTGAAAAATTACTTTTGGATAAAACTGAAATTTGGTGATGTATATGTGTATGGAAATGATGGTGGATAAAATCAATTCAAATTTTGCTAAACAGCTTTAAAGGGACAGTATGTCATATGCACTTTAAGCTGCGTTTCCACTGCAGGAACTTTGGGGTATTTTTCCAGGGCCAGCCCCGTCTGTGTGTGTCTCCACTGCGGGAACTTTCCCCACAAGGGCCATTTACAGGAACTTTTACGGTGCCCAACGGAGTACCTCCTCCATGCAAGGTACAGCTCCTGGTGGGGCTTGAGGTTAACCCGGTGGTGATTCGCTATAGCTAGCGCAGGCTCAGACGCCAGCAGAAAGCACCAAAACAACCGGCATTAGCCCAGCAGCATTAGTCTAGCAGACACCACTGGAAATAGCAAACGACAGCACGGCTGGATTCAGACAGGGTTTGAGGCATCGCGGCGAAATGAAAAGATTTATTAAGACATATCCGCTTCACCTCGAAGCACTGAGGATTCATCACACTCTAAAACAAGCCGTGATAAGTTTTAAAAACTGAAGCAGGACTATAAAAAAACTCAAGACCACAACAACCGGAGCGGTTAAGACTGTAAAATTAACAAATGGGTTTGGCACATGGATCTATAATTACAATGGGTTTGGCGTGATGAGTTTCGCTTCTGCGAATGTGATTGAAACTCATGACGTCGGCGAGTAATCCTACTCTGCAGTGGAGACACGGCCACTGAGAGGACCGAGGGAGAGGAGGAGTTCCTTTTACCAGGAACTCCTGCAGTGGAAGCTTTAGTGGTCTAATAAAGTGATTACCAGTTTTTGATGCCAGGAAGCATAAAGCTCCTGACACCCATTATGCAGTCCACCTGTTGGCATTTACTGAGAAATGGTACAAACTGTGCATTACTAATAAATGCATCATTTACTAATTTTTGTGTTTTCTTCAATTGAAATAAATCTGTGGTACTTTTTGTGGTACTTTTGTTTTTTTCTTGAATTTTGCTATGAAAAAACCTGGAGCCAAGACAAGATGAATTTAAAGAAACAAATGACAGACTCATTCTGCTCTCTGATTGGATAATCTCCTCGTAAACATAAATATTATTTACATCATTTTTATAGAATAATAACTATACTTTTGTTAAAAAATACACATATAAAAGATGTAGAAGTAATCTAAAAAGAAAATATGAGTTTTTCCTACAAACTGGTGAAATTACTTATATTTGAGTGAAACATTTCCATCCCGTGAAGCAGCTTTTATTACGACATAGTTAATCAGTTATTGCTGTCCAAATGTAAATTACATGCTACTGCCTCAGGGGACTCATACTCGCTTGTCTTTGCTGATTCAGGTTCTGTTCTCCTTCGGTTCAAGTCTAAGTATTCTATTTTGTGACTCTTTGGTAGATAAATGACCCATTTCTCTGAAATGAATACAATAAGCACACATCATTTCTATAACATTATCTTTAATCTCGTTTGACAGACGACTCCACTAAAGCCCCGCCCCCGTTGTTAAGTTGGAGTATTGTCCACCAAAAGTTTCCTTGGAACACCCTCCTGCTTCTCGGGGGAGGGTTCGCATTGGCTCATGGTAGTGATGTAAGCACATACTGATTGACATACATTAAAATACCTACAGTATATTAAGGTGAAATGTTTATAATTTTAAAGGTATCTGGACTCTCTGCATGGCTGGGGGACACTCTCATTCCTCTTCAAAATATTCCACCGTTTGCCATTTCGATTCTGCTGTGTTTACTGGTGGCTCTCTTCACTGAGTGCTCCAGTAACACTGCCACCACAACACTGTTTCTGCCCATTCTGGCCTCAATGGTATTTAATCATCACAGGACTGATTGCCACTGCACTGCAAGGGGCCGTATTCATGTTTATTTCACTATCCAGGCTGTCGCTATCAAGATCCATCCCATGTATGTCATGATTCCTTGCACGTTTGCTTCTAACCTGGCCTTCATGCTGCCTGTGGCCACGCCCCCCAACGCCATAGCCTTCTCTTTTGGTAACCTCAAAGTCATGGACATGGTAAGATCTGTTTCTCCAACAGAGAGATTGAACCATAAGTTTCCTGGTTTGGAATGTACTCTGCAAACACGCACACTGCATTATAAGCAGCTTACAACAATCCTTAAATCCATTCATTCATTTGCTGGATATACCAGAATCAGTAGTAGACAAATCATAACCAGGAAGAAATTATTATCAACAATTTTCCTTTTAACGATTTCCTACCTTAATTTTCCTATTGGCTGATTTTCTGCTTGTCTATCATATGTTGTGCACAATCATAGTAATATAATTTTACTTTCTAGAAAATGTACTTGAATCTAAGGGAAAGATAATATTGAATATAACTTGACATTGACTCAAACAAAAATTAGATGGAATAATGTTTCTGGAAAGTTAGATATTTAAAATGATTATTACTAGAAACATTTAAATTCATCTCGATGTTATGTTACAACTAATGTAATCAGTATCGCTACATTGGCATAGGCTCAAAAACAAATTCCCTGCAGTCTGTGTAAATCAAATCAAATACTGTTCATGGAACAGACAGAGGGACAACAGGTGAACAGCAATGCACAGACCACATTTAAGCATCAAGTCAAATTGACCGTGACATCAATGTCTATTTATCTTGCAGCCCGTGGATGTGACGGGTTAAAAACAGATCAATGGTAGTAGGGAGTCATTAAATATGCATTCACAGAAAAAGTGTGTGGGGCAATAAATACAGCACATTAAAACAGTAGTGTAAATATGGAGGATTAAAAGCAGGTGAATGTAGAATGGTGCATTGAAAACAGTTGAGTAAACGTTTGTCAGTCCAGGATCATAAAGTGTGAGTGACATAGTAATCTCTGTTTCTTATCTCTTTCAGGTCAAAGCTGGCTCCATGCTCAATGTTATTGGAGTTATTACCATCAACCTTTCCATTAACACCTGGGGTGTAGCAATGTTTGACCTCGATACTTTCCCTGACTGGGCTAATGTCACTGTCAAACCATGAATATATCAGCACTGAAGACTGCTTTTTTTTTGTTCTTGGTTATTTTCATATCCTATTTATTTCCCATTCTACAACTGACCACAATTTTTTACTCTGTTTGATGTTCTACCATCAGTATTTCATGTTATGGCATAAAATATTGTTAATGTGTGGAAAACATGTAAATTCATTCAGTTTACTACACAAAAAGGGAAGTAGCTAGAAAGGGTGGGTGAGGTGGGCCCGCTCCTCCAATGGCACCAACCACACTCTAGAGAAATAAAGTGTCTAACTTTTCCACATAATTCTGTCTCGTTGAATTAAATGAATGTAACAATATTTTTGGACTTAATTTACTTGATAAATGAAGTCTAACGTAAAAGAGTTATGTGGAAATGTTGCTTAACATTACTGTACTTTATCAGTTAAATCTAACACATTGTTTCATAGAGGGCAAAATGGACCTGGATAAAAATGTAATAAAGTTACAAAATACCTGAATTTGTCCTGATTTCATTATAATTATACATTATGAGTCATGTAAAGCTACAATTATATTTCTAATGTGATTTTATCACAGTCACTCTTGAAAAGAAGAGTTGGATTTAAATGTTTGATAAACAATGCACATTAATGAACACCAGTATACTGTAGTAAGTAATTAATCTTTATTTATATGGTGCCTTTCACAGAGCAGAGTCATAAAAGCGCTCAACAATTGTTGTGGACATTTGTCCTCCACACAGAGATTTGAGGGGGATGACCGGACAGGAAGCGCATGCCAGCCATATTTTACATGTTTTTTGTGGCAGGGGAAACTGCGGCACCTAGATTAAACCAACGCAGACACAGGGAGAACATGCAAATTCCACACAGAAAGGCCTTGGAGGTGGATACAACCCAGGACCTTCTTTCTTTGAAGCATAATGGTCATATGACAAAGTTTAGCAAAGTTAAACCAACCTTTTCACATAACTCTGTCATGTTGGATCTAATTGAGGAAGTCAGTTAAGTGTAACAATATTTGTGCGTTAAACAAGAATGTTGGAAGAGTAGATCTTGATTGGATGAAGGTTGCCCACTATGGCTGCTCTGAAAGGAAGACGTTACGTTTGAGAGGAAAAGGAGGAACCTGTAGGCAAGAAAACCCCAACCAAGATAAGATAAGATAAACCTTTATTAGTCTCACAGTGGAGAAATTTCAGTGTCATCGTTGCACATTACAGCAGAGAACGGAAATAAGAGCACTCAGATTGCACACATCAAAGTCTGTTATTTAAGATAATAGACAATAAATTTAAGATAAAATAAAATAAAATGAAATAAGAAACTCTGGGCTATAATTGCACTTGGTTCGGAGTAATGCAGCTCGCGGAAATTCAATTTGGTAGACGTCAGCCAAAAGCTACCCCCTCCAGGCCGGTTCGCTTCCCCAGCCTATCGCACAGCAAACGCCCCCTTCCAATCATCCGTGCCGGACAGGCAGCCGCTTAAAAGCGGAGAAACTCCCACTCTCGGCCTTCTCGAAGCCTCGCAAGCCCTCGAAGCCTTGCAAAGAATCGTCTGGACTCTGGAGGAATCGTTTCCGTCTACTCACGCTACTCGTGCGTGTCCCGGGCGTCCTCCGTCTTGCTGCGTGTGGTCTGCTCCTCCTCTGCGTCCCTGCACCTGCTGTGGTTCGCGTGTCTCCACTGCTCTCCTCCTCTGCGGGCTCTTTCTGCGGGCTGCTCCGCGGGGCCCTCCGCGGGTTCCGTGCTGCTCGTTCCTCGTGGTCTGCTGCCGCGCGCAGACGGTCTGGCGGTGCCGTGCGTGTCCCTGCCTCCGTTGGCGGTGCCGCGTTGTCCCGTTGCTTTTCCCAACAGTGTTGCCAACTCCTCAGTAAGGAAAGTAGCTATTGGCTGTCCCAAAAGTCGCTAGAAGTCGCTAAATGACGTCATCGCCTAATTTGCATAATTTGCCATTTGCAAATAACTGTAACGGACGCTGTAGGAGAGAGGAATAAGGTCGTGGGAGAGACAAAAGTGAGTAAAAACACCCTAAATATGTTTAGAACTACAAATGTACAAAAATAATTTCAATATTAACAACATTTAATGATTTTAATGCTTTGTCTAGATCCACATTACACACATCAGTTTTGTCCTGTATTGTTAAATGTTATAACAGCAAATGTAATCAAAAGATTGTTATGTAGGGTGAAATTGCTAGCTCTACAACCAACCCTCCTCCTTTATCCGGGCTTGGGACCGGCAAAGTGACCCAAAAGACACACTCTGGCAGAGTTACTTAGGTTTATTTTTGTAAGTTTTTTTTTTTTTTTCATAGTTTGGCATAACAAATGATTTAATGTGACCCACTACTGAGAGAAAACAGAGTCACGGACAGAGCTGCCGCGGATGGAGTGGGGGGTAGTGGGGGGTGGCGGTGGTAGGAGTGGCCGGGGAGCTTTGGATGTGTGGTGGTGGTGGAGCTGAAGTTCAGTCTGCAGCAGCCTGAAAACTTCCTGTGCTTTTGAGTCTCCTCTCTCTCTGCTCCGCCCATAGACTGTAGCTGGGACTGCTGCGCAAGGCTACTGTGAGACTGGCCGCCTGTAAGTGCTTTGGGACGGGGGAGGGGCTCACGTTGAGGACAGCAGAACAATACGTGCTTCACGAGTCTCCAAAACACCAGATAAGTCGCCAAAACACCAGATAAGTCGCCAATAACACCAGAAAAAGTCGCTAGATTTGTCGCTAGTCGCTTTTTTGAAAAAAAGTCGCTATAGGGGTCTGAAAAGTCGCTAAATCTAGCGACAAAGTCGCTAAGTTGGCAACACTGTTTCCCAAGTCTCCTGGCATGTGAGTGTGTTGACCGCGGACGGATTAATCCCGGAGTCTAGGCTGCAGGCTTGGTTTTTGCCCCGCGCACTTGACTGCAGGCGTCAGTTTCGCCCCGTGCTTGGTCTGCAGGCTTCGTTTTCACACGTGTTTGAGCTAACTGAGGGGCAATGCATATTAAATGGCATCAATCTCTATCGTCCGGGGATACAAGAGGCACAATGTGCATTAATTCAGATTCTTGTTCTGCCACTCGCAGTAAAACCACGTCGGAAAAATCTGCAAGACTACCCCATCGTGCTCCAGACGGCACACACCAGAGCTCTTGCCACGGCGCCATATTTACAGCATAATCTCATTACTCGCAGGTCACTATTGTTAAATGATTGTATTAAATTCGTCTATCTGCAGGAGGAAGGAGGGGCCATGCATTTAAATAGCTAGGTCACTGGTATTCAAGTAGGTAACTAAACTGCAGTTGTTGCATTTGAAAGTGCAGCAGAAAGAAAAAGGGCCCAATGTGAATCTGCAATGGGCGTGAAGTGGTGTTGGAGCTAATGAACGCATGGAACAGTGATCGTTCATGCGTATCTGCCATAATCAAAGCAGCAAGATGGCTCCAGGGGACGTCTGTTATTCACATGGGAATGTTTCGGGTTGATTTATTTCCTCAGGCTGTTAAACAACCGTGGGCATGGTTCTCTGACCGCCGCCGCTGCCGGTCCCTGCTGCCGTTCCTACTGATGCCTGATCCCGCTGCTGCCTGTTCCCGCTGCTGCCTGTTCCTGCTGCTGCCTGTCCCTGCTGCCTGCTCCTGCTGCTCCTACTACTACATGTGCCGCTGCTGCTGTTCCTGCCGCTGCCGCTCCGCGGGCTCCCAGGCTGCACCCGTCTCTACGGCTTGGCTCTTTCAGACACGTATGTAACCTGGCTCACGGAGACAAGCGGCGCACACTGGCGTGACACGTCTGTTGTTCGTATGAATCTCATTGTGGTGCTGCTGCTCCTGCTAATGCTGCTTCTGCTGCTTCATACTGCTACCGCTACTGCTGCTACTGCTGCCGCTGCTGCTTCATACTGCTACTGCTGCCGTGCTGCTGCTGCTTCATGTACTTCGACATCTCTCTTCACTTCGCATCTCTTTTACTGAAACACTAAACAGCTACAACAATATTCTACTACTGTGGCTTTGATACAGGATCATTGCTGTTATTATCTACGGATGCTGCAGCTGCTGCTGCTGCTACTGCTGCTGCTTCATACTGCTACTGCTGCTACTGCTGCTGCTTTATACTGCTACTGCTGCTACTACTGCTGCTGCTGCTTCATTTACTTTGCCATCTCTCTTCACTTGCATCTCTTTTTCTGAAACACTAAACAGCTACAACAACATTCTACTGCTGCGGCTTTGATACAGGATTATTACTGTTATTTTCTAAGGATGCTGCTGCTGCTTCATACTGCTACTGCTGCTGCTGCTGCTGCTGCCGCGGCTTGATACAGGACTATTGCTGTTATTATCTGAGGCTACTGCTGCTGCCGCTACTGCTACTGCTACTGCTGCAACCCACTCTCTCAGAAGCTTATCCTGTTTCTAATGGATGCAGCCCGGCTGAGTATGCCGCGCTGCGCTGGACTCGCACCTATGCTCCCAGGGTCGCTTCGGTGGTCATGCTTCATCTCTCTACTTAATCTTCTGATTCTATCAGATGCAGCTGGCCGAGTAGCTGCGCTGAGCCGTCAATCGGACTCCTAATCAAAGGCATCCATACCTGTATTCTTCACTCTTCTGATCGCAGGCTCCCCATCACGCTGCCCATCCTGCAGCGGCTCTGAGCGGCACCGAACTCCGGCTCGTCTTCCAAGTACATGTCTGCCCTCCTCGCAGCATCTTCCTGCTCTCCTTCTATGGCTTCTCTGCATAAGCGTTTCACTACTGCTCGCTCAACCTTCATGTGGTCCGAGACGCGGCTTCCCGACCATCCTACTATCCTGATTACCTACTCTCCGACCCAAGATTCTAAGCGTAAGGGCGCCTGCAACATCAATGGCCCTCTCCGACATGTCTCTGCCCCTACAGGTCTCCGCTTCTACACGGACGTGCCCCTTCCGTGGGTTTTGGGGGGTTCTTCAAGATCCCTACTGCTCCTCTGCAATTGTCTCCCCAGCTCCATACAGCCCACTACTTCAGGATAGGCGCTGCCA